TTGAGTACTCTGAGATTGAATTGTTTAATCAGTCACAGTACTAAGCAAGGCATCTTTAAGAAATATGCTTAAAAGCTCACCAAACTGAGGTTTTGCTGGTCATGTAGCGATTATTAAATGTAAATATTACAGATCTTTGTTGTTGATAAGACAAAAGCCACAGTGCACATTTATACTTTCTCTGTTCATTAGTACACATTTCATTATTGTGATAAGTGACATGGCATCACAATATGCTTTTCTGAGAGTATCATGGACATCGTCAGTACTTTAAGAACACTGACCCGCTGCACGTTTCATTACAAAGAGAGCAAAATTAGTAATGCTTACAACCTCAGAACAGGGTAGTTACTCATAACAGAGCCCATAGTAAATTTGTATGTCCAACACAATAATGTCTAGCACAACTTTAATGTGCTCATGATTTTGTCCTTTTATTCTGGTAATAATACCTGTGGATTTCATGAGGTTGTAGTTCTTGTGTTTAGATGTATATACAGCATTTATTTATTTATTTATTTATTTATTCATTCATTCTTTCATTCATTCATTCCAAATATGGCGGTGACCAACAAGTCAAAACTCTTAACAAACACCCCTCACTCATGGTTTTTGGAAAAACTGGGATTTATATTGGTCGTGACAAAAAAATAATTCATTTTCATTTGTATTTTTAATTGTATTTTGATCGGTCATTTTGGGTGGGTCAGTGACCATCCATACGGAAAAAAATACATGTAAAATGTATTTATCAAATATATTTGAAAATGTGTAAAAATGACCAAAAATATTTAATTTTTTGGTTTTTTTTTGTGTTTTTTGCTTAATGTCCTTCAGGGTGTGGAATAATTTAGGAACGAAACAATGTATTTTAAACATCTCACATATAAAAAATTTACTTCTTACATGCTCATTTACTTTCACATATGAGAAAAAAGTGGGTGTGCATAATCAACCTGCTGCCTGTGCTGCACAACTGTTTCTTTTTGGTCTGTTCCAATTCATCAAACCTCGGAAAACGGAAATATCGTGATGTACATCATGTATCACAGAAAATGGATTGTGATGTTACACTTCATCATCCACCCCGGTTCACACAGATACACTAAGAATTCTTAATGTCTACCTCTTACAGGTCCATGACTACCTGAGAAGTAAGCTGTGCTCCCTCTACGAGAATGACTGTATCTTTGACAAGTTTGAATGTGTCTGGAATGGAACAGACAGGTATTGCAATCAATGTTGTGATAATGATGAATGAACTACATTTTATATTGTGTGACATTCAGATAGACCTATATACAGAGGATGAACATCTATCTTGGCTACAAAGTGCACAATTCAGTTTCATATCAGGATTTTGCTGAGCGCTTACATGTGATCCAACCTGACTGTACTGTCAGATGATTAAAAAAAATACCATTCATTGTGGATTACATGCAAGCATTTTGAACTCTGATACAATCAAGTGCCTTTTTTATTGCAGCCTGACTGATTTAAGCATCTTCATATCATGAAAAACACATTTGCACAAAGGTCTCTGTACTTAACGCCTCCTTCTCTTTTCCATAGTGTCCTCATGACGGGCTCCTACAACAACTTCTTCCGCATGTTCGATCGTAACACCAAACGTGATGTAACGTTGGAGGCCTCACGGGAAAACAGCAAACCTCGGGCCATCCTCAAGCCACGCAAGGTGTGTGTGGGAGGCAAGCGGCGTAAAGATGAGATCAGTGTGGACAGCTTAGACTTCAGTAAGAAGATTCTTCACACGGCCTGGCACCCTTCTGAGAATATCATCGCAGTGGCTGCCACAAACAACCTCTACATATTCCAGGACAAAGTCAACTAGCATGTAGCTCTAAAGTCTTTTGTCATCACAGAGAGAGACACAGGTGCTAATCCTCAAGGGGAATTGGCAGATCTGAAGAGGTTGGACTTAGTGGCAGCGGTTTCAAGAAACACCTGGTTGAACATTTTGGCCTCACAAAGCAGACTGTAACCACTGCACTGAAATCCTATGTACTGCGAATTTCAGGTCGCCAGAAACCGTGAAGAATGCGACGATGGCTGCTGCCTACGACTTTTGATTTTAGGTTTTTTGTTTGTTTTTTTTTGATGGTCTCTCTTGCTGTAGTTTTTGTTCGGTATGCACAGCAATAGAATGAAGATTGAAGATACATTTTGCTGCAAGGTGGGGATGGGGGGGGGGTGGTCTTGTTTTTTTTTTAAATCAGAACTGATCATTCACAGCCCAAGTCCTTTGACCAGTTCATGTTGGTTGGACTGAGGATGCTGATGATGGAATGCATTGTTGTTGCCAGACTGCTGTGGCCTTGAGATGTCCATCAGCTGTACCCTTGTGTTCAATTCCAACTTTTATTTATTTATTACCCTTTTACTTCATGAAAGTGCATGCATCATTTCAACACCTCGCTGGGTTGGAAGGTGCACTGTGGAATTAGTTTAAGTTGGAGGAAAAACAATGTAGCAACGTATTGCTTTTGTTCTAATTTTCTAAGGAAATTCTAAAAAGTGTAATTAAAAAAAAAAATCCAAAAGGAACCAAGTTTTCTTGTGTCATGAATTCTTCCTCCTGTGCTTGATTACTGCTCATGCATTAAAAAAGAGCCCATACAAGGGAACTTCAAAAAAGAGCAAAGCCTGAGGTTGCATTTATTTCCAGTCATTGTATACAGAAACAGCAACACTTCAAAAGCAAACCACTTTAAGAAACATTAAACATCCATGCCCTGTTCCGCTGAGTGGTACAGGAGTACTCAAATAATTGCCACACTGGCCTGCACAGCACTGTCCCTGCTGTCGTAGCAGCAGCCTACTTTACAAAACATTCTGGGTCAAAACAGAGGAGGCCCGCAGTACCAGTCATGACATATCTACAGATGCATTCACTTGAATTCAACTGACCCTGCCTTACAGCCAAAGATCATAGACCAGCATTAACATATGGCCTTGCTCTAGCCAATAACCTCTCAACTAGCAGGCAGTAGGTTTACATGGTTTGAATAAATACACAGATGTTCCGGGTAACCAAGGGTCATTATTAACACTATACTCTGCTAAATGCAGGGCAGACTCATGCTCAGTCCACAGGAGGTCTGGTGAAGCTCACTTTGTGGAGCGCCGGGTAGGTTCTGATGCTGTTGGGGGAGGTGGGGGTCCTCGACGGTCAAGATCCTCAATGTAGAACATGGTGAGTTTTCTGCGTTCTTCAGGGACACATTCAAGGACCAGGTATCGTTTGTCATTCTGTAGGATCTTCTCAATGTCCTTCAAGTGCTGGTCTGACTCCTGGATCAGCTTTCGGGATCTAAGTCAGAACATACATGGTGAAAACCTTGAATATTACACTCTACGGTTGTCTATTGAGAGTCCTTATACATGATGCCTCTTGTCAACCCGGGATGATGTCATTTAGCATTATTAAAGATCTGATAATTATTTCATCATGGATGTATTCCACAGACAAGGCAAGTAAAATACTTAAATATCTTTCGTGTATATATTTAAAAATCAAGAATTTCTAAACTTATACATTCCCTTACCTGTATGTGATGAACTTTGTCTCTTTTAAAAGAGTTCTAAAGTCAGCTTTGGCAGTGATGTATTTGTCCTTTATGTAGTCCTCAAACTCCCGCTGTCTTTTCTATGAAAAGAAAGGCTCCGGAGATTAACATGCCCCTATAATAGGAAGAGGCAATTCACACTATGGATATTAACCAGACACTCTCACTCACCCGATCGCTGCTGGAGAACTTTATGCAGCGAGGATCATCTTTAATGATCTTCTTCACCTCCTTCCACGTGGTGGTCAGTGTGATCTGGAAGAGATGATTATGGGCTCATGAGTATCAGGAGACTCAACACTTCCATTTACCAGTTTGTGCTTGAGCACCACCTTGAGGTCAAAAGGTAGTTAGTTGCAGAGTACACAGAGAGGAAAAAGTGCCCAAAGCAGACAAGTAAAATACTTTTAATAAACAAATTCAATAAAATCACCATAGAATTTTAAATAAATTATATGTTTAAAAAAATATATGCATATATAGTTCTAGCCAGTGGCAGCATCTCTCACCATGGTGGTCTCATCCAGCAACTGCCTGAACTGCTCTTTTTTCCTTTTGGTGAGTGCTTCGACATGCTCCTCGAACAATTTCTCTTTCTCATGTCGTTCCAACAGAGAAGCTGACTCCCAGCGATGATCCTTCCGTAGATTGCGCCTTGTATCTGACCAGGAGGCATCTGTCGATCTCACCTACTCACAAGTATACATATGTGAATAGTACTTGGATGAAAGAGCAGGAAAGTAGTGTGGTGATAGAGAACGCAAGGATAACATACTGAAACCATGTAGAGATAAAAGGTGAAGCCTTGTGAATTACCTGGATTTCTGCATAAATGGCTTCAAAAGCACAAACTGCTCATCTAAGTCATAATTAGGGATGCACCAATAGAGGAATTGCGGTCTGATGCTCACATACGATACTTTTCATGTGTATATCTGCTTGTGCCAATACCAATTCTAATAGATAATGTTGAGATTGAGATTAAATCTACCTGGATTAGCATTACAGAGACATGTAATAGTTTTAGAGGGCAGGAATGCAGTATAAATGCAGTTAAATGAATGAAGTGCAGGCATTTTAGTATAGCAACCCAGCATCACCTAAACACTGCTGTTCTGTAGTACAGTAACAACAGCATGAAATATCTGAAATGTTGGTCAAATTTAAATACCTGTCTGATGCCAATATTTGCTAAACATCTGCTGATAACAATATGATGCAGCTGTCAATGTGCATTATGACGTATCCATTTCAGTTATGTAACAAATTTTGCATTGCTATATCTGTAGTTAACATTCCAATCATAGACATTGATTAAAAAAGTGTTATAACTCTGATTCAGTAACTGGTTCCACCTTTATTACAATAAATTCAACCACATTTATTCTGATTAGTATTGATAGGCAGCAAAGCTTTTGTTCCACACACGAACGCTACTTGTTCAGCGCATTTCTGTCAACTTGTACACATCAGTCAAAAGCAAAGAGATGCCTGCCTTCCATCAATGACCTTGTTTGCTTTAAACAATCTCTTAGCAAAAACACTGCGATGTAAGATGCGCACTGTTACATAACTCTGCCTTTATTCGTTATAACTTTAGTTTAGGATCAGTTCGTCTTTTGGGAACCATTCGTGCAGAAATTTAGACAAATTACAAAAAGCTTCACAAACCCTTTCCCAAAACTGTTTACTGAAGAAACGCCCAACGGGATTAGCTTAAACTATTAACCACTGCCATGAATTAATTAATTCTACTGACCATATCAGACATGAGAGCTTTGAAGTTCTGGATGGCCTCTTCACGCTTGTGTTGCTCTCTCTCTCGGTCGATCTCCTTAGTCTGCTCGGATCGCGCTCTCTGCACCTCGCGCTCTCTCTCCCGCAGACTGGCCTCAATACGTGCCTGCCGCTCCAGCTCCTTCTCTTTCTCTGCATCGACATTCTGCAGAAGTCGAGAGAGAGACAGATATAGCAAAAAATTGAGTCACGTAAGACTTAAACACAACCTGGATTCTAAAAGATGATAGTCAGACATCATTCAAATGTTTGCGTTTCTGTAACCACAGAACATCGTCCCTTAGCATGACGTAATGACTATACAAGACTCCATCTAACAAGAGGTCTGCTGATTAACTGGACAGCATATCTGGTAGGATTGTGTTGCTCTTACTTTAGCCTGCTTTTCCACATACTGTCTGTAGAGCTCCTCTCTAGCTGCAGAGCTCTCCACAGCTTTGTAGCGCTGATCTGTCTCCAACTTGTCTTTAACTTTGCTCCAGCGCTGCTGTATGTCCACATGGTGGTCCGATAACAAATCGAAGAAATCCTGCTTCACCTATGCGTGGCCAGAGAAAGAGAGTGTGGTCAGAAGCGTTGTTCTAAATTCCAGTCTCAATAGAAACAGTAAAGTTCTCAGTCCTGCTGATAACTGCTACAGTAATTACGGTTAGGAATAAATGCTGATGTGGACATTTTTCACCACAATGGAATTAAGTATGTGGGCTTTGTGTTCATCCTCGGCAATTTTCGCATGCTTGTTCTGTATAAATGTAGTATTATATGAATTTTAAATAGCTGTCAAAGCTATCCATCATTATCCTCGACTCAAAAGCATGGGGGCAACATAGGCTTTGACTGTTCTGCTGTACCTAAAGATGGCCACACATTTTTTTCCACTAAAACCTTGAACATCAGCCGATACCAATCTGCTATTTTATCTGACATTATTTATTACAAAACTTTAAAAATGAACTATTTTAAATTGTAGCAGTTCACTTAAAGTAAGCCATCATGTGCAAATTACTCAAACACTACTACTCTACAGGAAGAAATAATTAATTAATAATGAATAATTAATTAAAACAAACTACAGATTCTAGAAACAGCCATCAGTTTTAGCATTAACCTAATGGACACAGTGGCTGTGTTTACATGCAAAGATTTTTGCCAATCCGACTGAATACATTCCAATTACAGACTTAGACTGAGGTGTTTATATTCTCACTCTACTCAACAATCTGATGGAAAATCTCTGTTTACATGCTCACTACAAGCAATCAGATCCAAAATGATGCGCATGTGTAGAGAACGACTTAGTGTAAACGTCACCATGACAGCAAGCATCACGTGAGGTCCAGTCAGAGGGAGACGAGTTTTCAGCTGGCGCAGTTCTGTTTTTAATTGCTTTAAAATTATGGCAGAAAAATGTACTCCACACGTATTAAAGAAGCGGTGAGAGGAAGACGTCATGTTCTGAGACACATAAGCACGACGTCAGTTTCTGCTCCCGCCATGTTGAACGTTTTAAACTCTAAGCACATGCGCAGAATGTACCTACACGTTCCGATTGGGAATGTAATCGGATACAAACGTTAACATGGCTATTCTTCTTCTATTAAATGGATTATTTATAGGATTACCCACCTCGTTCAATCAGATAGAAATTGTATTCCGAATGGCCTCAATCAGACTAGTCTATTCTGATTGGAGTGTATACATGGACGTATTCTATTCCGATTGAGCTATTAGTTGGATTATTAACGAATTATTAGGCTGTATGTAAACATGGCTTGTGACTTGAACTATAGGAACTAAATATCTAGTCTGAGCATGGCAATCTCTAGCTTCTTCACCTTTTCTCCTTTGGTTTTGGAATCTTCTTTGTCTTTCTTCCTGAGGGCAGTCATGAACTCCGTGAACATAGCCTCTCTGTCCTTCATCTTGTCAATGGCCTTGAAACGAGGGTCCCTTGCATGCTTCGAGGCAAACTCACTGAATGTGGTCCTAGAAAACAAGATGGACTTTAGAGCATCTAAACCTGAAGACACAACACATTTATCAGTCAAACAGAGGCATATGTGCAGAAACACATGAAGCTAATCCAGTATCTACCATTTGCAGATATCCTTTAAAAAGTTTTGCATGCATTTAAGTCCATGCAAGAATGTGCAAGTCTGGTATAACTGGGTTATTCCAACAATTGAAAAATACATAAGAACACCTTCAAATAATCTGATGACATGAACTTGAATCCATATGAATTTACAGTCAGGTTTATGACATTGCTAATTTGCAGAGGGAATGTAAATGATTACCATGTAGTTTAATACAAACCGAAATCTAAAAGCATGAGCCAACAACGGCATATAAAGCAAACACCAGTGACAAACCTAAGGTTAAGTTTGGCATCTTCCATCATCCTCCTAAAGTCGTCTTTAGCCTGCATGAGTTTGTTCTTCTTCTCTTTCCTCTCTTCTTCAGCACGAGTCTTCACATACTGATCAAACACCTACATGGGCAGATGTAAATTCACATTTCAGACAACCCAGAACTAGAGATTCTAGTTTAGCTCAATGATTAACACTCTTTCAACAAGTTTGCCGTTAATTGTGAAAAGTATTTGCTACCTGCTTCCTCTCTTTGGGGTTGAGCAGTAGATATCTTGGATCAAATACGATCTTGTGCAACTCTTTGTCCCATGTGGAAAAGGCTGAAACCTGACAGTAGAGGGTGTGATCACAGATTAACAATGGACTGCTACTTACATGGAAAACAACTGACTGTAGAAGAAGGCTTCACAAATGTAACACTTAGTCTTCAGTTATTCATTTGTGTATATTTTGCCTCTTTTCTGACAAAGTGGCCTAGCCGTTTTTGCCAAAGCATGTTTAACCAAAAAAAAAAAAAAATTTAACACGTTAAGGGGAAAATGGCACCACTGGACAGTTAACATTTAAATGTTCAATGGCCAAAAAAAAGCAACACTTGTGGGACAAAAACTGTTAGGCCACTTCAACATGTTATTGTATTATAATGTTTAATGATATCAATAGAGTATTCAATACTTCTTTAGTTCTACTGTGGCTAAAGATTTTAAAATTTCAGACCAACTTCAAGAAAACAACCACAAGGTAAATTCCAGTGGCCAGTAGTAAACCATGAAAACATTAAGCTTGAGCAAAATAATCAAAAAATATTTTAACAGAATTTTAAATTCAGAGAATCTCAGTAATTTTAGAACACTACTTAATAAAAATAACAATTTTGTGCAAAGCATTAAGAAAGTATTTTGAAGGTATTAAACACAAACAATTCCTAATAGTTAGGGATGCACAAAAATACTGGTACCATATTCATATGAACAAATAACATTATTATCAGTTCAGACAATTTGTGGTGGACACATTCATTTTTAAATCTTTAAAATCTGGACAGTTTTATCAATGATTTTATAAAATGTAACAAAAGTAAAATACTTATATCTACACAGGAATCGACTGATACACACAAGGGTAGGCAATATGACAAACACAATCACAATACTTGGAAGACATTTTCATGATAAACAAGGTGCATGATATTTAGTATATTTAGTTTTTCTGATGTCTAACAAGTTGGAACAGTTTAAAAACGTTTAAAAACTGCCTCCAAAAAGATAAGAGTACACTGATATTTATTCAATGTTTCACATACTGTGCTGAAGTCCAAATAAATATGCCTAATTATGCTCTTTTTATAATAAACCCAGCAATTGGTCATTGTCGTTGTCCACAATATGACCAAGAAAGCATACTGTGACTAAATGTGGCAATTTATCACAATAACATCACATATCGTCATACTGCACACCCCCACATATAAACCTTCTGCTCCAGAATTTTCAGATCACAGCATCCCTAGTTAATTTCAAAACATTATTATTGTTTAAGTTATTAATGGGGGACAGAAGAGCTGCAGCAAATTCAGTCTTGAGGCTGTCTTGAGGAGTGCATCAAGAAATTCACTCAATTAAGACAAACAGAGCAACAGAAATAACATAGAAAGCACCAACAAGAGATATACAGGAGAGAGGACAGTAAGGAGAACAAACTGAAGATTGTACCTTGGAGGGCTTCCATTCAGATTTATGTGTCTAACATTACAGAGCTGGTTAGAGTATTGCGTTGGATTGAAGTGTTTTACCCCTCTCTCCAGCAGCATGTCCTTGAACTGATTGAGGCGGGCCTCCAGGGGTACCACAGCCCGATCCCGAGCCGCCTTCAGCTCGGCCTCCACGGCGGCCTCTTTTTCAGCATCAGCTTCCTTCACCTCCTCCTTTCTGTGAGGGGAGAAACAGCAGTGTGAGGTTCATAACCAAATAACAAAATGGGAAATGCCATTTTTTGGTATTGTTTAGAGTAAATGTTGGGAAGGACTTGATTCTTTTGAGTTACTCTATTTCTGTTTTTAAAAAAAGAGACTACCAAACAGAATGACTATTAGTAGCTGATGATAAATGTGCAGCATTTCAGAGCTTGCAAAGACCAGCACCACCCATCAACCCCCTCCCCCACCCACTATCCTCACTACGGAATTGCAAATATTCAGAGCAAACAAGTAGAAAATGACTTCTCAAGTGAGAGCGTTTCGATTGTTTCACTGGGGTTTTCCTAATGCAGGCTAGAGAGAGTCAAACAAGGTGTGTTACCTTGGAGGCCCATGTTGGCATCGCCAGAGCTTAGAAGCGTTCCCTGAAAAATAGTCCCCAGTGCAACACGACCACTGTTTGGGGTCAGGGAGAAGCAGGCTTGAAGGGCACTGATGGGAAACAGTGACTGATTTGACTTGGTAGACCTGGACAATATGGAGTCACCACTCATAACAGACCCAACTAAAGATCACCAAAGCTAAGACAGATCAGCATTGGGTGCATTCCGAAAAAAGAAACGTATGCCTCCGATTTCAGGACACTATCAATTAAAGTCTATAGTTTATTATGGATATTCTTTGTATGTTTAAGAATTTATCCTCTTCTTATGAACATAATGTATAATTTTCTTGTTCATGCTCTTAGTCTTTTCAACATACAGCAGAAGCTAGGTGTTCTGCAGGGGTAGGTAATTGGCCCCCTGCTGTGACTGTTGACAAAGGCAATGGTACTTACTTCCTCTTCTTAGCCTTAGAAGGCTCATCTTCTGGTACTTCTTCTGTGGCTGCTTCAAGCTCCTCTTTGCCAATGCCTATGACTAAAACACAGTAGTTGTATCACTAAATAATACAAACTTTTTAAACTCATAACCTCTCTCTAAGATCTTCCTGTTTTATTTATCTCTGCAATAAATAAACACAAAGAAATTGCATTTTTCATTCAATTACTCACAATGTCAGACTTTCTTTTATAACTGAACAAAAACCCAAAACATTAAAAATACTTGTTTGAAATATCTTGTTTAAAAACCTGAAAAAAGGTAAATTAAGATGATTAAAACCTGTTTTCTTGGCGTCATCTAGACCCCTCTTGTGTGGAGGTTCTTGGATGTATTTATCCACATCTGCCCGTCCGACCAACTCATCTGGCCGATCCCACATGGACTGTCGTGTTGTGGGATTGTAGAAGAACACACGGTCATCCCCAGTCCATACCACACACCTTTATATATATATATATATAAAAAAAAAACATTTCTCAATGTTGTGAGATGAATAAAATGAAATTATATATTTATTCATTCATTCATTCATTCTCCCAATAGCATTCCAAGTTATTTTGAAAAGGTTCACCAGGGTGTCCCAGGAATGGGGTTGGTTGCCACTGGTTTGGCCTTCTGGGCTGCTTTTTCCTCTTCGGTCATTTCTTCCTCCTTTGGTGCCTGAAAAGACAAAATAAGAAGGCCGTGAACAGACCATGAACTACAAATCCAAAACTGTGTCAAAATATTTAAATGTATGGCCTACATTTACCTCTTTGGCCAAAATGGATGCTTCAACTTTAAGATCCACATCACCAATTTCCATAGCCTCACAGTCACTGGCAGACTGGGCATCTTTTCCCTTGTCCACATCCTTATCTGCATGGCCAAATTAAAAGGTATTAAATTAGAAACATAAATTCTAAATTACCTTATCAATTGAATGTGGTTTTTGTCCTTAATGTTTTATGGTTTTTCTTTTAACAACAAATGACAAGCATACTAATGTACCTTTCTCCTTTAGCTCAGCAGGTTTGTCCCAGATGGATTCTTGAGTGCGGCTATTATAATAGTAGGTCTTGCCATCCACAGTTTTATACTCAGACCATTCCGGGAGAGGGAGGGCGCCAGCCAAAGCGGCAGGGGCAGCTGTGATGGCCAGTTGTGGGTGCATCATGGGTACTAAAGGAGGGGCCATGCCTGGCAACATACCTTGAAAATCACATTCCATGGGTTATATCACATATGAATCACAAGTCATCTACGCTACTGATGCCAACAGATTTAACATAATAAGCAGTTTATGTCCATGGGATCTTGGGATCTATCATGTATTTGACCATATGTATTTCACTGTTCTAAAAAGCCAAAAATAATCTAGGCAATGCTGCCATCTACTGATCATTAGACAACAAATCATGTTTAAAAAAAAAACAAAAAAAAAAAACACCAATATACAGCGAGAAATGTGTCAGAAATGTGTTAAGAATTGAATCATTTTCCAATTACGGTTCCATACAACACTATTTTCAGAGTGACCTGGAAGCCATGAAACAATTATGGTGGTATAAAAGTCCTGTTTAATGTACCTGGCAAGGGGATGTGCATGCCAGGTAGAGGCGCTCTGAATGGAGGCACCATGACTGGGGGGAAGGCTGGGATTGCAGCAGGTGGCTGGGCCACAGCATGAGGCAGTCCTGGCGGGAGGCTCTGGTGAAGTAATGGCACTGTCTGCACAGCTGTAACTGTAGCTGTGACTGTCGGAACACTGACCACGGCAACAGAAGCTACGCCCACGTTTGCAGGAGGAGTGGATGCCACTGGGGGCATCTCTGATACTGCTGGAGCTGGAGAGAGGAAATGAAGAGGAAGTCAAATAACTACTATTTCAAATAAAAGGTCCATATGCTACATACTGCTGTGCTTATGTTTTTCATTCAGGTTAATAAGGGTCACTTAACTTATAACGTACATATGTACCAAAAAATAGCAATAACTAATTTTTATGTGAATTACCTCTGTTCTGATGGGCTGCGCCTCATTCAGAAAGCAACCCAAGCTTAAAATGTTGCTAAACATGTTGCATTTTACATCATACATATTACATCAAACTTATTTAAAACTGACTAAATAATTGGTTTTCCAAAATACAGGTCCTTCTCTTGGAAATCCACTGTGAAACAAGTTAATCATAGTTGCATTTGTTAGGTTTTGAGAAGCTTAAAGTTGACTTAACTGAACATGCCTCGTTAGCCAGGCTCCAGTTGTCATACCATTGTTTAAGCAATTCTATAAAGAACCTCAGTACTCACAGGCCACAGGCTGGGGCACAGTAGGGACAGGACTAGTGCTGGGTTTGGGGCTGGCACTGAGGGTGTGAGTGGGGGAGTCAGGCTGGGTGGAGCCCAGGGAAGATGCCACTGTGGCTGTTGTATTGGCTGCAGTGGAGGCTGTGCTGCTGGTGGATGTGGCTGCAGATGCTGCTGCAGTGCCTGCCTGAGCACTCATCATAGGATTGAGTTCAGACTGCTGGATAATCTTTACTCCTTCTGGTTTGGTCCAGGCTGATTCACGAGTTCTGGCGTTATAGTAGTAGACCTAAGAAAAAGTACAGACTAAGGTGTGGGTAACTGGTTTTACAATCTGGACCGCAGATACTATTGTAACATTTCATAAATCATAACATATTTTTTGTACACAAAACAACACACACACACACACACACACACAACAAGAAAGGGAAGGGAAACCCCCTCCTTAAAGGAAAAAAACAGGACCTCATAATTTAGTACGTTATAATGAATTTTATTACATGTTACAACAACCCCCAGGCCAACACGCAGGCAAAATCCAGTGCTGTTCAGTACCTTTCCCTCAGGGGTGGTGTTCTCCACCCATATCTCCTCAGTGGTCAGGCTTCCAGGAGCCCCTGCTGCTGGCACCGGGGGCATTCCAGGTGGGAAGATCATGCCAGGAGGGGGAGGCATGTTGGCTATGGGAGGTGGCATGAAGGGTGGCCTCTGAAGATGCAAAAGAAAACATGAAACATGAGCCATGAATGAAACTCAATATAATGAGCCAAAAGGAAACTCTCCTAGCTTTTGACAGTCACAGGTCACTTAACCTAAACTTGAGCGCTTTACAATTCTTTGAGCACTGACAAAGAACATGTGCACATTAACACAAGCATCTTACCAATATTTTAAAAAATATAATCTGATTTTTGCGCAAAATTAAGTCTATTTCAGGAGTTGTGCCCAGCAAACATACCTGCAAATGTGGAGATCCAATTGGTGGGGGCATGGCACCAGGTGGTGGGATAGGTGGAATACTAGGATCAAAAGGTGGACGTCCAAAAGGAGGTCTTGGGGGTGGTGGCGGTCCCCTCATCATAGCAAATGGAGGTGGTGGGGGCCGTAGGAGTGGTGGAGGACCTCGCATCACTGTGGTGGGTGGAGGAGCAGGGCTACGAAAACGTAAGACTTGCTGCAGCGCCATTCTGAAGCAAAAGTGACACAGTCAATGACATGCTTAATTCAAAGGCATAGGCCTAGCCTGGCAACTTCCTCATCGGTAATTACGTTCATGTTCATTTGTTAATGCCCAGGAAGTTCAAAACTGTATAGGAAAGACGATTACAACACTTCATTGTACAGAATGTCGATTCAAAAGAAAGTGGCCTACAGTTTTTCTTTGTGAGGGGTAAAAAAATGGCATTTGAATGATTGAAAAGCGTTTGTAGTGACAATTTATTGTTTGTGTGGTATTTGCAGACTAAGTGAAGACTCTTTGCTTTAACAGCAGCAGGATCATGAAGCACCCTGGCAAGACTTCAGCTGAACCCTCTCACCCTGGCACTCACTTTTCTTTGTTAGAAGATTCAGGACCATCACAGCCAGCACAACTAAGCATGTTAACACACACCAGTATTAAGCTTCGGAAACAAGCACAGGCCTGTATATTGACAGAGAAGACAAAGATTAAACTGGACCACAGTGACAAAGTGTAGTGGAAAAAGGAACTGCTCTTTCTTTCCCTTCGGGATCAATAAAGTTCTATCTATCTATCTTTATCCAAAGCATACCAACTCATCTGTAAGACATGGTGGCACAGGTATTTGTGATGGCCAGTGGAATAATTTGTCTTAACGGATGACATGATTACCAACAGCAGTAGCAGGATGAATTCAGAAGCGGACGAACTAGAAGCAAATGTTCAACCACGTACGTCCAAACTCGAAGGGACGACAAATTCAATGGTTACGACTGTAACCTGGTTCACCCAATACAGATGTAAACACTACTGAAATTAAGCTGATGTTTTCCACACTTCAGCCTTGCAGTCATTAACTCTTCGCTGTCCGTTTACTTACAGACAGTATTGTATACAGCCTTTACTGAATATTAAAAAGTGGTTCTTCTCGTTGACTAAATAATGTTTGGACGCTTTAACCAAGGATTAACAGTTAAGTTTTTCTTTCAGGTTTTTACATCTTTGAAGGAAAATCCAGTTTGTAAAACAGTTGAAAGTGGTTCTTTTATTCTTATCATTTCATATAATGATGTCACCAGTTCACTGTAGTACAGCAAATGAATGTGTTGACATGGGCTTGGTCACTTCATCACTCGGCTAATGTAAATTATCACTCATTACAAGTCAGCTATAAGCTTTTTTACAATGTGCCTGGGTGGAACATTTTGGTGCAAACTATGTATACCAAGTTTTACATTATTCTTGATGAGGTCACTGAACAACTAGGCCTAGAACAAAAGTTAGCTAGTCTGTTACTCCATTTTGCTAACCACTAAGCTAGCTAGCTAACTTAACACTGCTGAGAGAACTAGTAGCTGCGATACGGACAGTTAAGTTAGCTAGCTAGCTAGCTAACTAGCTAACTTCACCCAACCACATGAACCCACGTTCAAGAAATCATTGCATAGCGCCAGGAAACCCTGAACACTTTTCTAGGTGACATTAATATGACCAGTATTCTTGCTAGGATGTAGCTAAACTTATCCAACGCAGACGTAAATTCACAGTACGGGTAGTTAGCCCGCCACTACCTTAACCTATAGATCTGCAACAATTTAACTTATCACTTGGGTTCAAAAGCTCACAGTAACCTTGCCATCTTCAACGTTAGGGCATCACAATATTTTCTAAAGAAAACGATCTAAAATACGTTTTAGAGTGAGATAGTGGGGCTTGTTTGGCTACCGTTAGCTTGGTCGCTAGCCAACAACAGTAACCCCCTAGCTAGCATTAGCGTTCGTGGCGTCACATAGATAGGAAGCTGGTGAAAGGGGAAATAGCCACGACGGGATACGCATTAAAAAGCCACTAACCGCTTGACTATTGTACACTTTTACGTGAATGTTTAAGTATTATATGGACTCACCTGTTGTCGCTAGATGCAGTGCTTTCTCCATCTACGTGCTCCGCCATTACTCCGAAAGTAAATCTAGCTGAATCCCTCTCTGCAGAACCTCTTTGACAGTTTCCTCTCGCGTGATTGGCTAAACTGCACGTCGATCACGTAGAGTTTTCTCAGAGACCGGTTCTTTCAAAAATCACTGGAATCTGAATCCTGGACCGAATTGAGAAGCCAACGGTGCTTCATAAATACGATTCAAGAGATTCGGAAAGAGACTAGTACATTTTGTCAGTGACTGCAAATTCAATACATTATATCACAAATTAGGCCAGTGTTAACATGAAAAATATTTATTCCAACAGGAAAGCTTCAACAGGAACTAGTGTGACTGAGAACATGTGAACTGAACACAGGCATGGCAGCAGGTACACTAAAGCACTCTCAGGGTTCGAATTTCACCACCATCGTCAACTTCAGAAATGTTGTTCTTTTGCCTACCAACAGAAATCTCTGGAGAAGGATTGTTGAATATGCTCTCCAAGGCACGTTTGTCCAGAGCTGGGACAGAATCTGGGAATTCTGCACTGGTGGAGGGACCTTGGCTGTGACTTTGCCTCCCAGACTCAGCATGGAAGGCATACTCGTGGTTTAAGGTAGAAAATAAGGCCTCATGCTTCCGCAAAAGGTTATCATAGGGGCCCATGAGGTCTGATATGCGATTACTGCATTCTGCATAAAGGAAGTTCCTATAAGGGAATTGAAACAGAATCCATTACCAGCATAACAAGCCTGGAAACTAAAGAGGGCTATTCCTTGGACAGACTGAATTACTTTATGAACAAAATGTTAATTTACCCTGCTGGGAAGAACTGTGGCCCAGGCATGAACAAAGTTGGCGGGAAAGCACAAGGTGAGGCAAAAACAGTGTTACCGGAATACAGCAGGGCTGGTGAGTACAGGTGGGCTATACCAGGCATCTGGTGGTCCCCAGAGTTCGATATCAGTACTCCTGGTCTTGGCGTGTCCAAGGCTGAACTGTGGTTTGGCTGTAGGTCAGTCCTCCTATGTGAGGTTACAGCCAACAGCTTACCTAAAACGTGGCATAAGTCATATAAAGATATTAGAAGACAGATCTTAATAAATCTAAGTGTGGGATTTGTTTATTGATCAACAGGACAGACGCATGCAGTTCAATTTAAAAACTTATGCAACTGAATCATGCCAAGTAATTAACAATCCTGGTCTATAGACGAGAGCATTTCCAAATATATTTGCAGCGAATAACAAGCAGCTTAATGAAGTTTACAATCAGAATCTGGGCTACATTTCAGTGTGAAAAGGATGTGGAGTAAGACATAGGGCTGTACAGAAAGAGTTTAAGGGTAAAAGTAACTTGGACACAATAACAAGCTTACTCACAAGGTTTCAAGTGTGAAGATAAAGTAGCAGCTGGTCACTGAATCACTGACATATTCTGGCTATGCTGGCAGGAGCCACTAATTAGGAGCCACTAATCTGAGTGACATCAATACCATTTCAATCATTTTTCAATCATGTTAACTCAATATAGTTTGTGGCTATGGCTAAATCAGAGAAGAAATGTATGATTCTTTTTCAAGTGATTGGTGCCTTGAATTTAGTACTAGTGGTATCATTCTCCTTACTTCAATTCAATTCAAATCTTTGGGCAATATCACTGTCAGTTGTGGTTATAGCTCATGTGCTTACCACGAGAGAATGACTCAGAGGGAGAGGCCTGCAGGAATACTGGAGCTGCGCTGGTTGCCTGGGACATATTAGGGACTGTAATTCTAGTCACCCTGGAGACTGATGGATTTTGTCCTGCAAAATATTGTGCATAAGTGGGAAAAAAAATCAAAAACTAAATGATGCTATTTAAATAGTTAAATGTAGAGAACAGAATGTTTTACAAATGTAGCTGGTGCACAAACAGCAGTACCAAAAGTACCTCATTCATTTTGGCAGATGAATGAAATACTACATTTGGAAAACAACATGCTCAACAAATGCGACCCTACTAATAATAATATTACTTTAGCTTAACATGAACCTCACCATGAACACAAATAATCTCCTGTAAACGTGTGGACGTCAAATCCTAGGTTCCTTGTGTCTAACATTAGACAGTGGCCTGTGGTCTAAAAGCTCTTCGTTTTAGACTGCAGGCCACTGCAGGATCTTCACATACTTTATTTTTTTAACGTGGTCTGTACCAGGTAGCATTAGGTTGGTCTTCAAAGCTGAGCTCATGCTGCTGGTGGACATGACAGTGGTGGGATTAGGGGCAGGACTCTGAGTCTGTGCTGGAACTGAGAGTGACCAGGACTGGGTGGTTGCCACTCCTGGGGTAAAACACTTCTTCTTCCCTATCCGTGGCTGATAGATCCAATCTACATTGATAACAAAAAAAGGTTTTGAAAAATACATCATCCAGGAATGACAGTTACTGATTTTAGACATCATATTGCAGTACAAACACCATTGGTAATTATACCATTTCAGTTCTCAGTCAGATAACTTCGATATTACCATCTTCTTAAAAAGTCATAGTGCACATTAAATAGCTTACTATTACAGAATAATACATGCCAGGACAATGGCTGTTTACCTAACATAACTATAAAAGGGTCATTTTTCTTCTATTTTAATGTTTCCTTGTGGTCCACTTATGACATTTGTGTGGGTTTATGTACCAGAAACAGTAATAATTCATTTACATGACCATTTTCCAACCTCTCTTTATCGCTTAGAATTAAACAGGTGTTTTTTTTTTCTGGTGCTTTAAGATTAATATATGTAAATTACCAATTTTTTAATCATCATCTGTCATGCCTTATTCAAAAACATTTTTGCAGCCTTATGTCAATATTTCTGTCCATTTTTGTTTTCCCATGATAAAGACTCTTTAACAATAGTGCTGGTAATAGTTTTATGTATTTAAACTAAAATTTATATTCCTTTTTAAATGAGTTCCAATAACATATTTTAGCAATTTTGCAATAATACCAAACACTGATTATTCTAGTTACTGATATTGTGACAGGACATGTTCATACCATACTATACCATACCATCCTACCCTAACTGCAAGACTGAACAAAAACCTTCAAAAACCTATTGTTTAAGGTATCTGAGCAATTTAAATTAATCAATATAATTTGAAAACACTAATCCTCCTTACCAGGAAACTCCTGCATGTGTCTGATTTTAAGTCGATGGGCTTCCTCATAGTAGGGCATCTTCTGTGTATCAGTCAGCTTGCTCCACTCCAGCCCGAGCTGGACACTGATGTCTGCATTGCTGGCTTTGGGGTTGGCGATGGACAAGGCAGGTCGGTGGATCCTTGCCCACAACATGAATGCATTCATGGGTCTCTTAACGCAGCCTTTCTTGTCTTTGAACTGCTTTATGCTTCTATCACCTTGGGAGACAAATAGAATAGAAACAAGAACTTGAACAACAGCTTTTTTATAAAGCAAGATTTTCAGACCAGAGGAGGCCCGAAGATGTTATTTAGTTGGACTACAAACTAACTGCATTTTAAATAAATGTTCATTTTGACAAGAAAACAGCCTATAACCTATGACCTTAGCTTCCTTACCAGCTCCTAACGGAGGCTGAGTGAGGTTCAGTCCTTTAGTTTTGACTTTGACCTTGCTAACTGGTTGTGTTGGAGGGCGCTTAAACGGCAGTATAACATCAGTTTGGACTGCCTTAGAGAGGTCAGCAATGTCATGACCCTGACGATGCTGCAGATCCTCCTGCGCTTTCAATGAGAAAAGACTGGTGATTTTTAGCGAGGAGTCGTCCGCTTCTTTAAATAACAGCACTGGGTACGAAGCAGCAGGCGTCAGCTTATGGTCTACCGTCTGAATACCGTCGTTTTCAGGTGATGACTTGATCGCCAATTTGTCGTTTTCACTATTTTCGGCACTTTTTGCTGACGTTAACGCTACTGTGTTGGACATCCCTGTGGTGCCGTTAACTTTGCTTAGCAACGGCTGTTGTTGTTCACCGTCGACTTTAGCAACGCGCGACCTCCCAAGCCGATCGGATTTCAAAATATCGTTATCTTTCGTGGTGATTTTCGTCACAAATTCCCCGGCTTTACTTCGTTCACTTCTTCCGAAAGTCAGCTGAGCCCTCCGTTTAGGGTGCCTGTCCATTGTTGCGACAGAAAACCGTTTGCGATCTCAAACCAGGCTGTTATTTTTTGACGATAAACAGTCGTGGAATTTTCAAGTTGCGCGAGCGGCTTTTGAGCTTTCCAACTGTCGCGAGAAACCCAGTTATAAACGGGAAATGCTGAAAACAGAACTGCCCTTAAAAATAATGTAAATGTAATTCTGAAAGATTTATTTATCGTTTTTATATCGACATTGCAATTTAAAGAGATTGCAATTTTTCAGATCGCAAGAGCTGCATTTTTAAATTACAGCCTACATTATCCGTTGTCTTACGTTTTAGGAGAGGAAATGAACCTTAACTCATAAAAAATAATTAGAATTTAAACCGCAGTTGCAATATTAGTCAGAAAAAATGCAATATTTTCCCCAAATCATTAAGCAGTATGTGATTGTGACTTTGGTAATGTGCCACTTTATTAAGTACAGCTACGAATAGCTTAGGCCTCCTCTAAATGCTGTGTAAAATTAGAGTTATAAATATTGCTAAAACAGTTAAAAGGCTTTTTAGTGGTTATTTTGGAACAGCAGCCTGGCTGCTATTTAGCTTAATTGTTATTCATAAGAAAGAAAAGTATGGTTAGAGGTCTACTTCTTTTATTAAAGAAAACATGGGGGCAATTGCACTGTGATTAGTTGAGCTGTAGATTAGAGTTTAACCTGAGGTTAAACCCGAGTCACGTAGGTTTTTAAACCGTGTCCTAGGAAACTGCAGTTTAAAGCGCACCTGCGGTTTAGACCCAATTGAAATGTCATTTAAAAATCATACATCTGCCACTAGATGTCGCTGTGTCTCAGGTTTAACGGATATTTGTCTAAACCTAATACAGAGGTGCTTTTGCTGAGGTTTGAGGCAAGATTTTTGTATTTAAAGCTCACATATTTTAATATCCCATACATAGAGGCCCATATACCATCGTCATAAG